GCACCAGGATGGGAAAGAAGCGGTCAAGCAACGCAACTCGCGACCACAGCATTGAATCCTTCGATACAACTACGGACGGACAAGAAGAAGCGGATGTGGACAGTGAACTCCATATGGGTTCTGTCTTGCTCGACATCATCAAATCCGTTGATGTCGATCGTCTCCGCGCGGCCGCCGGAGAAGGAACGTCGCTTCAGTGCTTACTTGTCGTGATGAATTGGATGCACAAGTGGCAGCAAGAATACGAGTGCATCATGTCGTCGCTGACCCAGTACAGAGAAGCTCTGTGCACCTACCGGGACGACAACGAGGCCGAAGAGGACACCTCGAACGAAATCAAGGAGATTGAAACCGAGGGGGTGCAAGTGCTCGACGGGTTTGAAGCGATCTCGCTCGCTCTGCTCCGCACCGACAGTGCCATCCCGATTGACGTCGTCGATGACATGGGCTGGACACTGCTCATGCAGGCCGCCAACTGCGGCCGTGCTTCGTTAGTAAAGATCCTCGTCAACGACTTGGACGCCAGCATCGACAAACGAGAGCACAACCATTCGCTCGGCATGACCGCCTTGGCCCGCGCGATCGATGCTGGGCATAGAGAATTACTTGACGACCTCTGCGATCAGTCGACGATCAACGCCGTGTTTCAGTACAAGAACCACGACGAAGAAGTGGCCGACGAAGAGGTCCACACACCGCTGACGCTTGCTTGCCGCAACGGCCACGAAGAAATCGTTGTATTTCTCCTGGACCAGCACGACCTCCAAGTCAACTTCAAGCTTCCGGGCTCGGAAGACTCGGCTCTTCACATTGCGGTGTGCTTCGACATGGAACGGATCGTGCGCCAATTGCTCAAACACCCCCCCACAGATATCAACGCCGTCAACGCGCAGGGATACACGGCTGCATTTGGATGCTCGAATGCAGACCTTGTGAAGACGTTGCTTGAGCATGGCCTGGACGCCACCATTGAAGGCTTTCAAGGTGAAACGCTGCTCGACATGGCACTGGCCCTGGGAGATGAAGATGTTGCCGCGGTCGTGTGTAATCGGTTAGAGGACGAGGCGAACGCGTCCGAAGTCGACATCTCTGCTGCTGGAATTCTACACCGTGAATAACCAGGGGTATCTGTTGCAAGGACACCAAGGGGTCGAGTGGAGGTGCACGTTGCAGCCTACGCACGCATGGCACTGCGGCATGCGCTATTGGAAATGCAAGAACTGCACGACAGGGTGTCCCGGCTGAGCACTTAATCGCACTAGACAAGGACAACAGGGGTGCGGCGTAGCCATGGCAAGCGATCGATCTCGACGAGATTTCGCAATTCCACGACATGGATTCGTCACATTTCGCGAATATTTATGGCTGACTGCATGCTTGAAATGAATATATATTTCATATATTTTTGCAAAAAATGCACAAATTTTCCGAAAATTACGTGGAACTGCATACTTGGCGATCGAGCAACAAACATGTTTGCCAAGCCATTCGGCACGACGGGCAACACGCGGCTGAAGGGGAAGGATGTGAAAAAAGTTCGGCTCGATCTTCTCAAGTCCTGTGGAATCGAGAGCGATGCCAACTTCCCGTGGACCCTCCTGGCCAAGGCCGACATCGTCAAGATCAAACTGGCAGCGCCAAGTCGGACGGTGTTGTTCACAGATGTCGACGCGAACGTGTTGGCGTTCGATATTCACGGGAAGGGCGAAGTGGTCCCGTCGGTGTACTTGCTCTGGCACGAACCTGCCTTGCGCATGCAATTGCCACAACTTGTTGTGCATTCCCCAGTGAGCCATTATTTGCTCCGTGGCGCGGATCCGATGCTTCCAGGAGTACTTCAACACAGCCATTCGGCCGATCATCCTTTTCTCAAGGGTGAGCTGCGGGCCGTATATGTTCACGGCAACCCAATGCCGTTTGCGATCGGCGACATGCTGGTGGACGCAGACACCCTTGCTGTCCAAGGGTGGAAAGGCAAGGCAATGCGGCTACTCCATGTCGTGTTCGACGAGCTGACAAGGATGGCGCCACCACTTCCGCGCGATTTACCCGAAGGCTTCACCGATAGCCAAATCCATCCTACAGAAGACAGTGCGGCTGCACTAAACGTCGCAGACATCGTGTTGAACGACGTGGCACCGCCATTTGCCTCGGAAACACCTGCCCCGGCACCTGCCGACGAGGCCGGCGCAGTACATGAACTGGCCGACGAAGGCGCCACCGCTTTGTCCCAAAGCGACCTGGACGACTTGTTGGAGCGCAGTTTTTTCCAGGCAATGAAAACAGTCAAGCCGAGCGACGCCCCGATGCTCGCGAGTCACTTCTACGCGTCGTTTGTGCTGCCTTGCCGTCCCGTCGGCAGCTCCATCCACGTCAAGGGCACGTCGTATAAGAAGATTTCAACCTTTCTCAAGCACATGGCGTCCCGTGGAGTCATCGACGTCACTGAACACGACGGCGTACAAACGATCACGCTGTTTCGCAAAACGCACCCGTATGTCCGTCGGCGACTTTGCCACGATCGAGCCCTGACTTGCCATGGGCTGTAGGGACGTCAGTCGCCATCCGTTGCATCGGTCCGAGATGACTGTGGCCGTGGAATTGGAAGCGGTAGGTGTCGACTCGATGGTGCTTGATTCTCATGCGACTCGACTGCAGGAAGCAACAGCGGGGGCGTTTGTGCCAGGAAAACATGCTCCCGAAGTCGTCCAGCTGTACCGATTGACGCCACCGACTCACGTCATCTGTGGCCCCGACACCAACACGTCGTTGCATCTAACCGACATCCGAACGCGGTTGAACGATTACATCGCCACGAACGGCCTCGTGCATCCTCGCGAGCCCCAGTATGTCCAACTCGACGCTTCTCTCACGGACGCCTTGTTCCCGGGAAAGAAGAAACCGGTACGTGGTCGCTCGGTGGCGTGCTCCTGGAGCGGACGGACCGACCGTAGGCGGAAGGCTACCCGGACAAACTTTTGCGTCAAGAAGTGCTCCAACTCTTTGTGTCGCGCCTTCGCGTACGCCTCGACGTGAGCGACCACACACGTTACCTTTGTTGCATCCTATAGCCGTACCATTCGATTCAACTCTCACCAGACCAACCGGTCGCGCCGATCGCAGGCGACTTCAAGCCGATTCGCGTCAAAACCGAGCTGACCAAGCGCCAAAAGCCCGTCACGATTGTGTCCAACATCGAGGTACGTGCAGCTCTATGCACACTCGTGTGCCTGTTGCTACCTCATGCGAATCGTTCCACCAGCAATTTGGCCTGGATCCTCAACTTTTGTCGAGGGATGCCCAAAAGAAGTGGGCATGCAGGTGCGATAGCTTGTCGGGAGACGACGGTCGCTTCAACTGTCGTTTGCTTTGGGTAGCGCGACGCTTGTACCACACGGAAAATAGATCGAAGTTCACATTCAAGGCAACTTGGGCCACGATGTCGTGGCGCACCTTGGCAAGCAGTACAAAATCCAACCCAAGTACTGCGTCGCAGAGTACGGAAAAGGCCTCAAGCCAAAAAAGTAACGTGTACACGGTCAATGGGGGGTCGATCTGGTTAATCTCGATCAATCACACCCTTGCTGTTGAGCACCGCGTACTCCAACTGCTTGGCCAGAATCGCTTTCGACGAGTACGCGGGCAAGTGCAGCGTGTTGGTACACGTGCGGGCAAACGGCAGGGTCACGTCGACCGGCTGATTGTCGGGACTCACGCGGCGCACGACTTCAAATGGGGGCTTCAGTTTCTCGAACCCGACGCCGCCGGGTGGCAAGTGGGGACACCCCGTCGCGTACAGGAGAAATGCGCGTCGTTGCGCCGTCGTCATGTCGACCAGAACGTCGATAAAGTGCTCGATGGGCTCACTGGACGACGTGTACCCGTGCGCCAATTTGATTGTCTGGCGGAGGGACTCTTTCGTCCAGTCCACGTCGACGGTCCCGCAAAGCGTGAGCTGCAGCTCGTCCACAAATAGGAGCTTGAGCTTTTTCAGCGCCACGACTTCACTCAGACCTTCCTGGAACGCTTCAACTTGCGCTGCGACCCCGCGATCGAGCCACGACCGCAGCACGAGCTCCACGTACGAATGCAAGTTGTCCACCGTGACAGCCTTGGCACTTCCGTTCACGTCTACGAGCCAAACATAAGACGCTATGGCGATCTCGACGGACAGCGTACCGAGCTCGGCTTGCGTGATCGGGTCGACAAAGTTGAGATCGACGGTCGCGAGCCACTCGTCGGCCCGCATTTTTTCAATCATGACGTCACGTTGGCCCGATTCGAGCGCCTTGGACGCTTTGTACAAACTAAACAGAATGCGACCGGGCTCGAGGAAAATTGTGGCAACGTCGTCGACTGCAATCGGTTCGCCAAGCACGAGGCGCAGAAATTGCGACGACAGGGGCAGCGGCAGCAGGCGTTCGTCTTGGAGCGCTTTGCCCGCCAAACGACTGGAGCCAAGATTGTCAGTGCGACGATACTACGACGAGAGACAAACCCACGTACCCCATGAGACGAAAGCGATCTTTGAGCACGTCGGTGGCGTCCAGCACCGGGAGTGGAAACAGGCCATTGGGGTGGCGAATCACGTCGCCGCTCGAATCTTCGTGTCCGTTCACCCTGCCATGGTATTAAAAATCGTTTCGACAATGCAACGTACCATATCCGCAACGGCTTATTGCACTGGAGGGCGTTCGCCACGGCCGAATAGAACGCCGCCGTCACACCAGATCCATACCCTCGCTCGCCGACAAATACAATGTCGAGGATGGCCTTGCGCTTGGCATGCACCTTCATGACGGCGTCGGCGCTCTTGATGATGTCAACACGATCAACTTTGGCGCGTTCCTTTGGCAGCGGCGAGATCGACAGTTCGTCGTTGGTCGAGTCGTGGTCCAAGTGGTCTCGGAACCAATGCAACGACCTGGAAAAACCAAACGCGGTCGTGCGAAACAACGTGTAGCGCATCTCAAGGGGGAAAAAGAACTTGGACTACACGAAACCACGTGTGGGTCATGACGGCGCAAGTGTGGCCACAGAAGCGCAATGGCCTCACCTGCTGCACCAACTCGTCGCACCACGCTGGATACGTCCCGCTCGTGACGGACAACACGTCCTGCAGCTGCATGCGCAGTTTTCGCGACAGCCGCGGGTTCAGCCAAGCGTCTTTACCGAGCTCTGCGCTAAATTGTTCGTGCAGCACACGTAGCAAGCCAACGCTTTGGGTGAATACTGGCGGTCCCCAACTTGTTTCTCCGTCATCTGCCATCACAACATCGTTCAACGGCTCGCTCAGTGTGGCCGGCTTGGTTGCGTCGTCGTTGTTCCAGCGGACGGAAAAGTCACAAAACACGTTGAATACACACTTCCAAGGCACTAGACCCAAGGACCGCGTCGGGTGGATCTTGTGCAAGCAGTAAAACAAGTTGTCGTCCGGTGCAAACTCGGCCAACTGCGTCGGGGCTGTCGGTGTCGACAGGAATGCCGACGTCTTGAAGCCCAAGTGTTCCAAGTACTGCCACAAGCACCGCATGTGCCGTGCATCTCTACAAATTGCCACGAGCCAGGCCGAGAATTGAGTCCACGTCAGCACGTCTTGGTCAGTCTCGGTCGTCGAGTGACTGGAAAACATTATCCACACTTCCGACGACATGAGACCAAGCTTGATTTCTTTGCAAAAGGCGCCAAATGTAGCCAGCGACCACGACACGTGCTGCAACGAGGGGACGTCCAGCGTTTCGGGCTTGACCTTGGGCTTTTGACCGGCTCCAAACACGTGAAACAACCATTGCGCCACGGGAATCGCCTTGTCGTTCAAGTGATCGCCGTCGGTGGTGAGCCAGTGCAGCTGGTCCTCCGATTTGTCGCTGTAGTCGCCGTACCCCAGCAAGACGCGAACGATCGGAGGTGCCATGACCGTAAATTGTTGGTTTTCGCATTGGATCGTCGGGGGGCTCGGTGCTTTGACAGCTTTCTGCTTGCCTTTTCTCTTCGGCGTTCCACTAGCTGCACTAGCAGTCTCAGAGGAACCACCGATGCCTGCCACGGCAGGGGCGTTCTGGTCGGCATGGATGTGATCATGTCGTGACCGCGCCAAAAGGCGTCGCAGGTGCTCCAGCACAGGTCGGCCGCCCCCGCCTCGTCCTTGGAAGTCTAGTGCACCAAGCATGCGCTGCACTACAAGACGACTGAATCAAGAAATCGACCAACGATGAATACCTTTGGAAGATGCGGACCCCGGCCGCGCCTTGGCTTGAAACGGCACCAAGTTGGTCTCCTCCACAACCAACGGGACGTTGACCTGCGACCCGAATGAAACCTCGACTTCGACCTGTTGCGACGTGGTTTTCCGCACATACGTCCCACACACGCAAATGCTGGACCCGTTCGACACCCACACTTTGTCGCCTTCTCCAGGAGTAGTCGAGTCTTGCAACTTGAGCACATCCATCAATCGTCGTTCGCGCGATCTTTTGTCTGACGGTGGTGACCGGCCGTCCGAAGGCGCTGCCGCCGCAGCGTCTTCATGTCTGGATGAAGCGTCGTCGTCGGAGCTCCGTCGTTTGACGCGCTTCGAGCGACGAACTGGACTGTTGCTGTGGTCATCTGGAGTGCGGCGTTTGAGCGCCGACGTGGATCCAAAGAGCGACAAATCCATCGACACGGACGAAAACACTCTCAACGGCGTCTTGACGAGGCGATAGGCCTCTTCTTGCAATACTTCCTCGACGAATTCGTCGCGAAAGTGAATCAAGTGGCATCCCGTCGACGCGTCAAAGCCACACACCGCGGCTTCGACCCACTTGCCGTCGACAGGTTTCCAAATCGGTTGGCCCACCAAACTCCACGCGTACATGAGCCACTTGGGATCGGAAATTGGCGCGCATCGGAACACCGTCCGCTCAAACGACGAAAACAACGTCAATGGCGATGCGTGAATGCTTCGTGGAGGCACCGGCGCGACTTGCTCATGGCTCGGGACAAGGCGCATGCGGCATCGCAATTGTCGCGTCAACGGGTAAAATTCTTTTCCCTTCGCCATGGCATACGTGACGGTGGGCAAAGATTCATGCAACCCAACCACTTGATGCAAGTGCCGCACGAGCGCTTGCAGCTTGGGATTCCACGGGATCTCTTGAAGTGACAGCGCATGCAGCAAGGTTGGCACAACGTTGGATTTGGTCAACTCGTACGTCGTGATGCCGGCGTCGATGCACGTCAGGAGGTCGTCGAGGACGTCGGGGCCGACTGCAGTGTCGCAAGTCGAAGGGCTTTTCGGCAGCGCGTCGCATAGCGCATTCAGTTGGCCGACGATCGGATTCAAATCCATCGGCATATCAGCAGACAACGAGGTCCCCGTGTTGAGCCACTCGATGACGAGGGAGGCGACGGTTGCGTCGACGGGGCTCGTGTGCGTCTGCGCAGCAAACGACCGCAATCGATCCAAAATCCCTTGTCGCTCCATCTGGCAGACAACGGCCGTCCCGCTGTTCACAGACGACAGCGCCTCGAGTAAGCGCAGTGCCAACACCATCGCGTACACGTTGAGGTCCGTGTCTGGAGCGCCATGTTCTCCCTCCATCGTACTGTCGTTGGATTCCATCAAGAGGCCGTGGATGACCTCGAGCAAAACGTTGATGTCGCCGTCCGCCAACTCGATGGGGTAGATGAGCACGTTCGCCATGGTGGACAGGACGGCGTTTGTCACTTGCTTGTTGTCGATCGATGGCACGGCATGCACGAGGCTCGTAAACAGCGCGTGGGTAAACGCAACCGCGTCTTCCCGACGAATGTCCACGAGCGGAAGGCCGTCGTCTGCGTCGCCATGTTTGCTGTCGTCGTCGTCCTCGCCGTCGTCGGGATCGACCAACATGGGAATCTCGTCATCTTCTTCATCGTTGCCTTCATCGTCACCGTCGTCCTCTTCATCGTCCTGGGACTCGTCGTGGTACATACCATGGTACTCATCTTCGTCATCGTCCGAATGCATTTCTTCGTCATCAAAATGCTCCGACTCGTCGTCTTCTTCCGTATCCATATCGTTCCACTCGCGCGCAAAGTCGGATAGGAGCACTTCGCCTCGCGCATGGACGTCACCTGGCGGAGATTGCACTCGTGATGACGTAGCCCCGTCCGTCGACGCGGTAGTGTGGTCGGGATGGCGCGAAGTATGGTGATGGTGGTGGGGACTGTCAGCTTCGCCACGGTCGTGGTCCACGGAAAGCAAGTGGAATCTGGCGCGATTGTGCATGGCCAGGAGTTTGGTGATAGGGTGGCTGGGCGGGTGCTTCGCCAGCACTTGTGCCAACGTTTCACCGTGTTCGTTGGCCGCATGGGGACTCGCTCCATGCTGCAACAGCAGCGACACAATGTCGCACCGCTCAGCCAATGCGGCGGCATGCAGTGCTTCCACCGACACATGCGCTCCCTTTCGAATGAGTAGCCGGACCATCTCCACACACGAGTCGGTCACAGCGACCAAGAATGGCGACGAAGGCGATGTCGTGTGCAAGTTGGCGCCATCTTTCAGCAGCGCCGACACCGTCGACACGTCGTTGGCTTTGATAAATGCGACGAGGAGGCGGTGCAGAATCAACGACGTTTTCGCCACACCGGAGGCTTGGTGGCCGATTCGCGCCGTCACCTTGGACAGAAATCGAAGCGTCGACGTCGCTACTGCCTCGGTTTGCAGCATCGGCGGCAGCTGCTGCATCAAAGTCCGGACTACGTCGGGGTCCAAGAGAGTGGTAAACACAGTTGTCGACTCGTCCACGAGTTCCGTGAGAAGGGCCACGGATGCACGGCTGGCATCGTAGCTGTCTTCTGTCGACGGCGCAACCATAATGTGCAGCAGCTGGCGGATGCACGATGTGGACAAGTGGTCGTGAAGCGGCGTGCGATGGTACAGAATCGTCATGCATTTGATCGCGCCAATTTGAACGCGGGGGTTTGAGTGGCCGATGTACGTTTCCAGGGCACCCAGGATCGTGGAGAGAACTGTCGGCGACGCGGTGGGCTTGTCATTCGAGTGATGATGCGCTTTTTGAAGCGTAGCTGCCGGCGGTGGTGGCTTCATGTGAAAATGGACCTTCTGGCACACCTTCTGCAGGAGCGACAAGGACGTGAGAAGCACGTTGAGGTGGAGTGCGTTGGCAAAAAGCAGAAAACGCAAAAGCTTTGCCAGGGGGACTGGCTGGCACAGTTCCCGAAATGCGAACGGGTGCAAATGACAAGACACTTCAAGGCCGTTCGTAGCTTCTTCGGCCAGGTGCTTCTCCATCGACAGCGTGGCGGGACTGTCGTCACGACCAGCTCGTTCGTCATGCTTGGATGCGATCTCGTCCATGACACCAAGATACATTGTCATGCAATCCTGCGCTTTCTTGCCGTCCGACATGCGAAGGTCCATCTTGATGAGGTAGTTGAGTGACTGACATGCAAGCAGCCGCGGCTGCAGCTCGAACTTCGTCTTGTTTGACAGGATGGTGCCTAGGACGGTGACCAGGTTTGGGTCTTTCTTGGTGGTAATCTTCGGCCGTCCCATGAGGAGCCCGAGGCCGCCTTCCGACGACGCTTCCATCATCGCCAGGTTGTGTGTCATCGTTTGCAGAGCATCCACCAACTTGACGGAGGCATTCTGGTCGTTCGCAAGGGCTTCGAGCGCGGCACTGGAAATGCCAACATGGGACGATGCCTCCCTGTCTGCTCTCTCAAAAAGTCCGAGCGCCGACCCAAATCCACTATGCGATCGCGCGGCGCCCATGCTGGCTGGATTCGGTGTGCTGCAAACAGTACATACATGAACTTGGTGCGGATTGAGCAGGGTGCATGCTGCACACTCCCACCGACCATTCACGGCAGCAAACGAAGTCGATGATGGCGCATCGCTGCTGGTAACATCATTCACTTCCCTTGACGAGCCACATATTTCGCAAATTGACGAGCTCAAGTCGTTTTCGTACGTGCATCGAGAGCAATTCCACGTTGTGTCCGTCGTTAGTCCCGTAGCTGCTGCGACGTCGGTGGTGTTTGAATCTGCAGCCGACTGTTGGCTGCTCAGCTCGCTCGCTGAGTCCATCTCTTCGTCCATGGCGTCATGAAGCGCATGTCCCTGCACGATAATCTGTCGTATCACCTGCGAGTCGTCCGCTTCGTCGTCCATATGCACCACCCCTTCTTCGCTCTTGCGACGGATAAAGAATAAACGCCTCCATATCGCAAGTCCACATGAATGCAATCCATGATTGGGTTAATTTTTATCCAATCAACAAATGTCTTATTGAATATACGCCTTCGATTTGAAAAACGAACACGATTTTTTCACCAATTTCAACCAATCATGAGACGCCGCTCCACTACAGCAGTTCCTGCACCGCATTCCCGAGCTGGCCAAAGCAGTCGACCGATGGAAAGTAGTGCATCTCAAACTCGTCGCGGTCCATCGAGTACTCGCCGACGACAGGTTCCTCCGGTAATGATGGAGCTCCACTGAACAACCTGCATCGTTTTCGCTTCTTGGATACACGGGAGTAGATCACGCGGTCATCGATGAGTTGAAAGCACAGGCACCGAACGTCTTGAAGGCCGAGGAGACCCTTGAAGTACTCACTCATGTGCACTTCACCAATCCCTGGTCGTTCGGCAACGAGCATGGTGATTTCGCGCTTCATGACCACCATGAACGCTTCGTTGGTCGTGCCGTTCATCTTGAGCCATGGTCGAGCGATCAGTGGCTCGTCTCGGTTGAACTCGGCGACTTTTTTCTTGTAGGCGTAGGGAAACACCATCCACGGCTTTGCATGCGCGGAAGCGACGTAGCGAACGCAGTTGTACGCATGCACGTCGCACACGCGGTCGTTCGTGACGAGTTGGTCCAGGGCTTCTTGGACTTGCTGCCGTCGTCGTTGGGACGTTGCGTGGGGAAACAAATTGTTGGCCAAGTCCGTGGCAGTCGTGCCTTCGCCTTCCTTGGCATCAATAGCTTTGGCCAGGGCTTCCACCACAAGATTGCGGCAACGCTTCATGGATGTGCATGGTTTCGACGGCGCATGCAGACACGTCCATTCGACGTCATCGTCGTCGTCGTCGTGTTGTTCGCCGCCTTCCCCATCGCATCGCTTGCGCTTTCGAGGTGTAAATACTTCCCAACAGTCGTCCGTGGCACTTGCCGAACTCGCCTTGGTCGAAAGGACCCAGTCCATGTTGAACTCGTCGTAGCTCCGCCCATTCGTGAAGCGGTGCATGTGCCCGATGAACCCGTTGTCCTTGAAACTGCGGCCCGCCTTGAGGTTGGTCATGCTGCCGTACACGCCATCCTTTGTTTGTTCGAACGTGACGTCGAGGTCGACGGTGCCTTGCACGTGGCCCGCCAGGAGCGTCGCCATAAAGCCCGCACTTGCATTCGACGGCATCTGCATCTCCATGCCATCCTCCTGCAGCGTCGACATGGCACCCATGTGCTCGGCGGCGTCCAGGCACATCGTGAGCGGCCACTGCGTCGCATTGAGCCGCAAGAAGTCGAACATCGCGAGCGAGAACGCATACCCGCGACGATGGCCCGTGTCGGCCGGCTTACTTCTGTTGACTTTGCCAGCAAAATACAAGTATCGCCACACGATCTTCATTTCGAGCGTCGAGAACGGCGTGAGGAGATCGTCGGCCACGGCAGAGTCATATTCAGCGTCTGGCTGTAGCATCATCTGCACCGCCTTGACCAGGCATCCATACACGCGCGGATCCGACTGAATCATTACCTCCTCGAGAAAGCGGCCAGTGGGATTTTTGGCCGCGACTTCGGCAGCTTCTAGCGCCATCAATTGCTTCTTCACGATCGGGCGCGGCAAGCAGTGCTTGAGCAGCCGGCGCTTCACTTCGAGGCCAACGTACGGCCGCGTCGCGCCAACACGCAGCATGGGCCACCCGACCTCCAACCCGATCGCATTCCAGTTGACTCGGCCGCGCCAGACGCGGCTGTTGATAAAAGTCGTCTCTTCCTGGTCAAAACGCAGTTCCAACGGCACGTCGACCTGCCACAGGTTCACAATCTTGTCCATATACGATGCGAGCGCAGCTTCTTCATGGTCTGGCGTCAAGGCAATTTTTTCCGGCTTGCGGCGTGGCGTCTTGATCCGTAGCGGTTGCTGGCGCCGCTGTTCGATGCGTTGCGCGCGCGCATCCAACTTCCACTTCGGATTCGGATTGATCAAGTTGGACGAAAACACACGTTTCTTTGGCTTGGCTCTTGTCTTCATAATCCCGACCTTCTGCCGCTGCAGGGACCCGCTGTCCGTCCACAGCAGCGATAGAGTTGCATTGATCGACGGCACCAAGTACGGCTTGACGAACATGGGCGGTTGATCTGGCATCGGCGGCTCCATCATGCATTCCCATCGAGCTTTCTCGAGGTAGAACACTTCCAGGAGCCGCCAAAACGTGATGACTTGGTCCACGTCGTTGAACGAGTACTCGAGGGGTATCTCTGGGAGGGGACCGAATCCCACCGGCCTCAGCACTCCGCGAAGTCGAAGTGGCGTCGACGCGCGCTCGTCCACTACCGCGACAAACACATGAAGATTGAGAAGCAGCACGCCGCCGTGAACAGTCTGGTCGACGACGCGAGACACCATCTCGTCTACGTCGCTGCTGTACACGCTCTCGTGCTGCAGAGGGGCCGGCTGCTTGCGATGGAGGAGCTTGAAGTCCACGAGGATGTCCACCATGCGCTTTGCGCGGTTGCGCTGGTTGCGCTGGAGCACCTTGCCGACGGCGCCAAGCCTTTTCCACTGGTCAGAGATATTCATGGAGTTCCCGGCATAAATGACTTGCTTGACGGCGGCTTCCTGCGCTTCGGACAAAGCCTCAGGCGTGCCAAAGATTTGGCAATAGTCTTGCACGGACGTATGGGCCATCACGTCTTGAAACTTGAACTCAATACGAGCTTCCTTGTCGACCGATGGCAGGGTCAATGCCGTCGTAGGCCAAACTTTCATGCGCACCAGTGCGCGGCATATGGCGACATGGAGGAGCCGGGCGCGGCACATCATCCCGTACGCTTGCCCGAGCCTGCGGCATTGGCGATGGTGGTCCTTCAACCGTTGCCGCGCTGCGTTGAACGCAGAAATATTGTGCGACAGTGCCACGATGTTTTGTTTCGATTTCGCATCCGCAGCATTCAACTGCCGCTGGCGCAAGTGGTCTTCCCGCACGATCGAAAATGACGAGTCGACCCACTTGATCGTCGAGTCCAAATCGTCGAGCGGCGAATATTGGTCGAGGAATTTGCGCAGCGTGGCTTGGGACTCTTCCTTCATGACGAATGGAAGCGCGACACATCGGACGCGGGTATGACCAGACACTTTCTTCCATGGCACGTTTACGTCAATAAACTCGATCGTCTTGTCGTCCACGAGGGGCTGGAGGAGCCGAAGAATGGTCCGGCCATCGATGCCGTGCGTGCCCTGGCGATTCTCGTGGGCACACAGCGTTCGCCGGAGGTACCCGACCGACACAATCGAGTTGGTGTGAATTTGGTCCATCAAGAATGCCTGCCGTTCCACAAACACGTCGCCGACGAGACGGTGTCCCGAGTTTTGAATTGATTGCCGAATCGAAGCATACCGACCGATGCCCACCCCGACGCCAGCAGTAGTTGGCGCAGCCACTTCTTCGGACTTGATGATGGTCGGCACGACGCTGAACTTGTGCACGACGCTGCGGGAGCCCATGACCCGTTCCGATACCACGTTGTGGTGGATCAGCATGCGCTGCATCTTCTTGTACACCCACTTGTTGTCCGGGTTGCCGCAAACGTCCTTGACTTCTGGGATTGTGATGCCTTCCGGGCTCGCGGCATCAACCAGTCGATACAAGTATTCAGCACCTCCCATGTTGTGGGCCAGCGGGAAGGTGAACTCGTTGCCGCCCCTTGTGATGGACGAGCCGGTGTTCGCAGACGTGTCTACGACGCGGACGCACCAGAGTTTGCGGCCCGTGGACCGCTCGCCGCCATGACAGGTTGCCATGAACATATGAAGTGGGCACGTCAATGGGTTTTTCGTCGCTTCCTGGCAAATGTAGTTGCGCAGGGACTCCTGCTGCCGTTTTTGGAGACCAAAGCGCTTGGCGACGTCGGGGAACACAGCAGTCTCTTCGTTCCGGACCTGCATCGACCGCAGGAGCTTGTTGACCAAGATTGCCTTCGTGTTGGGCTCGTGCTCAAAGTAAAAGCCGGCAAACCCCATCGTGTGGGGGTCGAACAACGCAGCAAACCGCTTCAAATGAATGATATTGAAGCGGCGCGGAGGAAGAGTCAAGATACGCTTCTCCACAAGATTCATCGCGACGAGTTCATCGAGGAAGTAGTGCATGCGCTTAATGTCGCCATTGAACAGGGTGTCGCTGATGCAGCTAACTGTGATCCCGATACACCGCGTTCGGCCGATCATTTCCAGCACGTCCAGTAGAATGGCGCTGATATCAACACCAACTTTTGAGTACCCCAGGGCCTGGAGGCGAATGTCGTACGTGGCCACGAGGACCAGCATGGGGTCGGCCATCGCGGCGTCGAATGGAATATCGGATGCATCTAAAGGAGCGAGATCGTGCTGGGGCAGAGCGGTGGTTGGAGCAGGACCTGATTTCCATCGTGCAGATGACGATGGTTTAGATACCGACGGTCGGCACACGGCCTCCTCCGAGTCGGACACTTCGGAGTCGGGCGACATCTTCTTACGTTTCTTCTTCGTTGCCGTCTTTGCCGGGGCTTTCCGCTTCTTTGGCATCGTAGTGGAAATTGAAGAAGGCAACGTGCTGTCGTTCTCGTTCTGCATGCTGATCTGCGGGTTGTGCGCAACCTGGACAGGATTCGTCGGAGAACACCCGCGGCGCAAGATTGCCCAGATCATTGCGTGCATGTGGACATCGCCACTCGGCTCAAACTTGTGAAAGAGTCGGCGCACGGAGATACCATTGCGACCTTCAAGCGCAATGTTCTCATAAAGCACTTGAAGCACCTTGAATACACTCCATCGTGGCGCCGTCGTCGTCGTCGCCGCGCCATCCGATGCCGCCATTCCAGTTGGCGACCCAAATTAACACTAAATATGCCATTGAAATCACACTATTTCGAAATCAAACACTATTTGAAGATACCCGCCGTTTCGCCTGCATCAGCGGTGATGCAAACGCGGACACCGCACCAGCGGCACCATGACAAGGTGGAGAAGCGACTGCTCGAAAAGTTCGGGGTAAGGGATGTCCTCGTCGATTCGGACGAGCACGCCAAGATCAATGAGATGGTCTCGCGCGTGGCCACGTTGGCCGCGGAGGACAACCTTCGTGAAGATGGTACGTTGACCGACTAACAACCGCATCATCACGTCGCATAGGCTTCTTCTTTGCCGACGGAGTGTATACTGCATCAAGAATGTACAAAATGACGCCAGGAATGGTGAATCGCTCGTTTACAGCTCATGTGAAGCCCGTCTACAGCGTCCTTCCGTTCAGCGACGGGATGCATGTCGCGACAGTAGGAATGGACAGGTGCGCGTTTCACTCGGACGCGTGGTTGACAACGGTTTGACGCAGCATGTGCGTGTGGGCCATGGACCAAGTCGCCCCGGTTGCCTCGCTCGGGCGAAGTGCTGTAACGAGCAATATGTGCATTACAATTGGGGCTGCCAGTGCGTCGAACGTCGCGATCTGTGCAGGTACAATTTTCTCGGCGGACGGACAATCACCGCAAGCATGCACAGGAACGGAGCCCACGATGTGTCGTTGGGACAAGGACGCGGCAAAGATAACACTTCAACATCGCGGCACGTTTGGCCATGACGACATCATAACGAGCTGTTGTTTCAGCCCTGACGAATCCGTCTTTGTCACGGCATCCATGGACTCTACCTGCATCTTCTGGGATGCCAACACCATGAAGCTCATTGGCGTGCTCCCAGCCCACCATGGCGGGGTGTCCTGGTGCGGGTTTGCCGGACGGTACCTATACACATGCAGCGCGCTGGACTACCTCATCAAGCGATGGGATGTTGCTGCTTGGCTTCACGCACAGAAGTCCGACGCACTCTCCACCGGCAATTCAGGCGACCCTTCAAACAAGGACGATGCAAGCGATCGGACAGCATTAACGGGTCACTCCAGCGCAGCGCACGACGTCACCCCGACGGCAGCCCACGCGCCAACTCCCAACGATACACGAGCGACGCCTTTCACACCGTCCAGTGCAAAGATCGTGCCATCCACCCTCGAAACGCCGTCACAGCTCGAGCCGTCCAAGTTACTCGACTGGACCGCCAGGCAAAAGTACAATCGAGCGTTGGACGCGTTGTTTTCACCGGACGTGACTTTGCAAACACTCACGGTTGGGCACCACCTGCCACAGTTTTGTTTGAACGACGACTGGACGCACAATCGTCATCGCGATAGCTCCGACTTTGACCTGCTCTTGCCCCCGTTGTTTCCGTTTCGATCCCCGGACGATGGCGCCACCGAGGGCCTCCGCGAAGCCGACGACGACCCCGTCAAGCTTGCACAGCTCGAGTCGATCGATATCTTGACGCTGCTCGATCCATCGTCGTCCATCAGGCACCCACTGTGCAACGAGCGTGTGACGTTCCATGCGAATGACATTTTTCTTGACGATGCCGCGGTCGTGGAGTTTCAAAAGAGGTCGGCGCAAGGGGTACAAGTTTCGAGTGGCTGTCGTTACCGCTCACGGTTTGCCTGCGCAGGTATTTGTCCAGCACACCCATACGATCAACTGGTGCGCGGTGGGGGCGTCATCCGCGGATGCGATTTCCACCGACGCTGTCGACGTCCTCGTGTCTGTTTCCTCGGACAAATGCATCAAGGTACATATCAAGTCCGTCATGCTCTGACCGTGACGTTGCTCCAGTTTTGGAACGCAGCATGCGGCACACACATGCACACAATTCGCAATGCCCACGACCGCGATATCCTGACGTGCGCGTTGTCCGCCCACCCAACGACTGCCTACTTGGCCACAGGGAGCAGCGACAGCTTTGTCAAGATCTGGAACCCTTCCACGTTTGAGTGCGTCTTCACCCTGCGTGGCCACTACGACTCGGTGCTGTCGGTATCGTTCACCCCGACGGGGCATTGCGTGTACTCGTCCGGGCGCGACGCGCAAGTGATCAAGTGGCAGGTCATTCCAACGGGTGCCGAGTCGCATCTTTGCCTGGCCTCACTCTGCTGCGTAGAGCCTGACGTTCCCGCGCAACCCGTGGTGTTTCATGTCGATTGCCACGCAATCACGATCACGTGGACAGAGCCGTTGGTGAGTTGGTGTCGGCGGCACTCTTTCTGATAGCAGGGTCGGGCTGCTACGAACAGGGCAATGGATCACGCATCGACAAGTACCAGATAAAAGTGTCCAAGGACCAAGGCGCCTTCGGCGCACCGTTCGACGTGCCGGCGGAGGAGCGGATGCACACTGTCGTGAGCCTTGACCCAGGATGCACGTACACGTTTTGTGTAGCGGCAATCAATCGCGTACGGTCGGCGATGGCTTTGCTCAGTGCTGCAAGACGCTGTGATACGATGGTAGATTGGATCCAGCGCGTTCAGCGTTCCCACCATGCCCGTCGAGACGGTGGCTTACCGTACGTGGACGCGGCGTGACAAGGCTAACGTTTAGTCTGCGCCAGGGCCGTCTACGATCAAAAAGCCATGCAGAGTGTCCGACGTAGGAACCCGCAGCGTCGTGTTGGAGTGGTTCGTGCCCAGTGCCAATGGCGCGCGCATCTCGCATTACCACGTTCGGTGCATTCCGGAGGATCCGCTGCACATCGACGCAACGGTCGACGTCACTGTATCGGTGGAAGCCATCGCGGCAGAGCATCAGGCGGCCCAAGATGCCATCCAAGCTGGTACACCATTCACGGCAACAGGTCTCTCTCAGCCATGTGTCCACGTAGACAAAGATCGAAAGGACAAGGTGCGCGAGGCCCGTCGCCTTGCGGCCAAAACGAAGCGACGACAGACGTGCATCGAACGCAGTGATAAACTTCGACAGCAAAGCGAGCGGCGCGTTGAACGACTGGCCACGGGCGGTGCATCGACCGCGGCTGTCACTGCCCACGTGGTATTCTCCTTTCATATGCAGGGCAACGACGTCGATCACACGAGAGTGTGCTTCTAGGCCCCGGAGCCGTTCACCCTCAAGTACACAATCCACTGCGTACAGCCTGGAATGATCTACCAATTTCAAATCGCCGCCGAGAATCGGTAAGGAATGGCAGCGCCGTCGACTTGATGGTTTTCACGTCGATGGAAGATGCGGTGTCGGCGACTACAACGTCCCGTCTTCGTATGTCAAGACGATATCGTGCGGTAGGTATCAAACGGAGCGATGCTGGACCCTCACACATGTGTGCAGCGCCGGATGCACCCGCCGCCCCAACCATCGGTAACGTGGCGTCGCACTCGGTCGACATGACGTGGGTCAAACCCCGCCACAACGGCAGCGACATCGTCCACTACACTCTTGAGTGGGCCCAAGACGGGCGAGACGTGGAGAGCACAATCGTGCTGGCGCGGAGCCTTCCCAGCACTCTGTACACCATCACAGCGCTGGATGCGGGCAGGGTCTGTCTACAACATTTGGAATAGCCTTACCGTTCGACCAACCGTGTAGTCGATGCGAGTGCGGCTACAAGCATCCAACGTGATCGACAAGAAGGTGCTCGATTCTCCCTTTTCGCCGTGGTCCGACATCGTGGCGACACTCCCGAGTGTGCCTGCTGCTCCGGCGATGCCAGTGCTGACCGCAGCAACATCTCACACACTCACCATGACGTTCCATGCGCCTTGCGACAACGGGTACACAGAGTCATTCTCTGAATGCATTCACTTCACGTGGTTGCACGACGGCAGGCAACCTATCCTGCGATACTACGTCATGGTATTCGTCGACGACGACTCGTACGGAGTCGCGTCCCGCCGATTCGTGGAGCAGATTGTGTGGCCCGTGGACGCTTTGCACGGCGCGATCGGTTTGTATGAGATGAACCTCGTCGGTCTCCGTGGCACCAAACGCTATGTGGTGTCGATTTCGGCTGAAAATGCACTTGGAAAAGGCGACTTTAGTCCAGTGAGCCATGCCCTCGCAACGAAACCTGCCATTGTCCCCGACGTTGTTCCAGTACGTCGTCTTTACCATTCATCGCTTGTGATGGGGGAGGCTCCTAGGCCCCGAAGGTGTTGAATGTCGAGCCGACCAAGGTCGACTTGGAATGGACAGTCCCATCCCACGACGGAGGCAGTCCCCTCATAGCGTATTCGATTGACTACAGCACGAACGACGGGCCGTTTGAGAGCGAGTTCAAGCTGCATCGCATGGACACGAGGTTGACGCTCGACTTTTTGAAACCCAAGACGACGTACTCGTTTCGAGTGGCGGCGGTCAACGCTGCCGGCATGGCGACGTACTCGACGCCGACAGCCAAGACCGTCACGCCGAGTTTGGTGGAGCACACGCTGCGCCAGTATTTCCTACATCGCCCCCCTGAGGAGCACAATGCAGCCACGAGCATCCAGGTACAGCCTGCACCTGCCTTCGAAACAAATGTGATGGAGTCTGGCGCGCATGTAGAAGCAATTTCGATGGTGGAAAACAACGACGCAAGAGCGCGCGGCGTTTGCGAAGTTCATGCGGCACAGTCTAGACAACTGGAACTTGTTGTAACTTTAAAAGGCCGAAGGCGCAGTTGGTCTCTCGCTGGCGTTTGATGCATTTTCACTTCACATGACTACGGAACAACCTACTGGACCTCCAAGACGAGTGTACGCTGCGTGGAAGGATACAATGTGCCTCCAGTGGAACTCGTACGGAAACCAGGAAAGTCGACGTCGTCAGGACACTGGTCGTGGAGGAGATTCACGGTCAGGACGTTGTCGTCCTTGGGACGATGGAACGGATTTGTCGTGCGAGCCACGGCCGCTCTGTTCTTGACATGGCCTTGTCCGAGCTTTCGGCATGGACACAATGCAGGTCCGTCATGCGCACCAGTCGGAAACGACGTAAATTCGTTCATTCCGAGGATCGATACTCTGTCTTGGATGGGGGCTGCAAAGTCGACTTGTTGTGTGTCAAAGAAGTAGGTGGTCGTGGTCGAGTTTTCGAACGGTGTGGTGTGCTTTGTGTGATGCAAACACCCCGCGTCCATGAGCGCGTTGCCAAACCGGATCGCTTCCTCGGTCTCGAAAGCATACCCGTGCTCCATGAAGCACCGTACGAGCTCGTTGCCAGTAAAGGCGGCGGACGGCGCCACGAATCGATTGCCGTGTGTGTGCGACTCGAAGCCACACACAAACCCGCTGACTCGTTGCGACACTTGGCCACACAACTCTTCCAAAAATTCCTGGACAACGGTCACGACCATCTTGGCCGACGGACGGAAGATCGCGTCGGCGTTCCAGCAGTTCTCGAGCAAGTCGTGGAGCGGCTGGGGGATCTCGGGGTCGATTGGGGGCCGCTGGCCGTCCAGCACCATGCGAAACACGTTCAGGTGGTTGTGGTTGCTGCTCGGGTACTTCTCCCGGCCGGGGTGGAGGATGTCCCACATCGTGATGGCCAGGCTGTAGATGTCCGCCGTCTCGGTGTAGTTGGCTACGCCCCGCTTGCCGTCGATGACTTCGGGGGCCATGTAGTCGACAGTGCCTCGGACCGTCATAGACCGGTCGTCGTTGGCGATGTCTTCGATCGTGAATGCCATGCTGCGCGCCTCGCCAAAGTCTGTGAGCTTGACGACGTTGCTCGCGTCCAGGAGGAAGTTGGCCGGCTTGATGTCGCGATGGATGAATGGCGGCGAGAAGCTGTGCAGGAACGCGACGGCGCGGGCCGCGTCGAGTATGTAGCACAGCTTGGGCCAGAGCGGCTCGACGTAGCCGGCGCGCGGTTTCTGCAGCGCGTCTTCGAGGCTGCCGCGGCACAGTTCGTACACCAAGCAGATGGACGGCGGACTGATGCACATGCCATGGAAGAACACGATGTTGGGATGCTTGAGCGCCGTGCACAGCGCCGCTTCCTGCGAGAACGCGAGGATGGTCGACTCGGAGATCTCGGTCGGCGAGTACACCTTGACGGCGACGTGGGTTGTCGAGTGCAGCATGCCGCGGTACACGTTCGCGGACGCGCCGACTCCGATGGGTTCTCGGAGCTCCATGTGGGCAAAGTCGATGATGTCCTTGCGGTGCACCTCGAGGAGGACATGGAGACCTTGGGCGGACACGATTTCCTGCATTCCCTGGTTTTCTCGAAAGTGCTGTTGGAGTTCGCACGCCCGTTCGCTGAATCCGCGCCAGTGCTCCGTGTCGGCGCGCAGGACGCGCCAGATGAAGAACGGCGCGAACGACACCCAAATGACGTTGCAAAACATAACTTCGGACGCGTCGTTGACGTTGTTCATCAAGATGAAGACCCCGTGGACGTATGCGCTCGTGTAAAACACCAGCGCAAAGAGGGCGAACTCGCGCTGGGTTCGGACACTGGCCCTTGACACTGGTCGAAGGAGCATCAAGACATACCACATCGATTTGAATGCTCGAATCACGCTCGTGACGATGAAAGTGGTTTCGTTGGACGCGTTCGCTGTGTCCAGCGCATGGACAACGATGATCGGAGTCATGGTGACCGCAGCAGCAAGGGCAATCGACCGATGTAGTGCCGGTCGGGACACACTCGATTGATACAAGTATGCCGTCACGAGGAGGAAGGTGAACTGGCTGCCTTGGTACACTGCCTCGGTGAACCAACTGTACGTGATCGGGGTGACGTAGCGGATGGACGTGGTCGCAAGGAAGTACCAAAAGTACGCTCCCGTGACGATGGCGACGACCCAGAAGAGGGCCTCGAAGGTCGGCAAGATCACTTTGCGCGCGGCGAACATGTTGCCTTTGAATGCTGTCAACCGGTTGTGGCGCAAGTACACAAGGAGAACGATCGAGAGCGCAAACATGATGCCGTAGCTGACCGTGTATGCGATCTGGAGGTTCTCGAAGTGGTTGGCCGAGAACAGATCTAACTTGGCTTTGGCGGCCGAGGACGCAGTGGGCTCCATGAAGACAGTTGAAAAGTGACCCTCTCATGGCGATTTTGGACGGACAGCCGGGTTCCATCGAATCGATCGATTCTCAGCAGCGCCTTTCGTTCTTGAAAACGAACGGCTTCACTGCCATGGCATTGCGTACGCACGACGCCGCACTGCCACGCAGCGGGCATCTTCCTCAGGCGAGATTACACATTCGATATTTCACGCGGTAAAAGGGCCCTCGTGCACACGCAAAGTTCTCCAGGGTGAGGTACGACGTTTCCCACGCGTTGAAAGCTTCAGCATCGGGAATTCGTTTACGAGGCACCCACGCCCCCCCCATCACATGAAGGAGGGCGGACACAACGTTTCCAAACGGGGACGCGTCACTCGTGTGAAGGCATCATGTTGCTGGAAAATGCATGCAGACAAGCTACGGTGAGGATCGTCCAACGTCAAATTCACGTGGTGCTTCACGGGATCGAATCGAGTGCAATGGCCCACAAGTCTCCGCTTCATTGAGTCCCTGCATACCCACGACGGTTTATACATCATGACCACACGGGACTAGCTCGACGTGGCAACTGCTTGTAAAAAACGAGCTGGCCTCATACAGCACCAGATTGTCTGGCGGATCTCGTCCTTCAACGAGGGGCGGCTCCCGTTCTCGTTCTTCCTGGCGTGGTAACGTCAGACGTGCTGTTATCATGGCGTTATCGACTGCGCAAAACAACGTTACCCACGACGTTTTGTCCAAGCGGGTGGCTTGAGTTCTTCCGCAATAGCTTTAACACAACCCAGGTCGAAGACCCAAGCGGTGCAAGCCCCCCCCGCAAACAGTATCTCCTCACCCCC